TTTTTCGATGGGGTACAAACAATGCGAGTGGAAATAAATAAAAGTGAAAAAAAAAAAAAAAATAATAACAATAATCGAAGAAAGAATCAAACAAAAGCTGTATATCACGCCATTTTGTCAGCGTTAATTGTGGCCTTGTCGTTACTGTGCGTATATATGTATAATGTATATTATGCTCTCGTTGCTGTCGGTGTAAGTGCGCATGGACCCATCTATATCCACAATAGCACGTATATAAATGTACGCAAGCTCGATACGAAACCCCTCCAAAACGAGGGGATCTAGAGAGATAGGGAGAGCGAGACGGGCATTTTTTTGCCACGCTCTCCTTCTTTATTCCTTTCTCTCACCACAAACCCCGCCCTTGAGGCTTCAGAACAGGCTCGTGCGTCATATCTCACTTTCGGTGTGTACACACACACACACACACATGACATGTGCACGTGCAGTGTGCATTGTCATAATGTGCAGTGTGGGGTGCTCCACGGGATCAACCGTAACAACCGCGAAACATACCACCGACCCCTCTCTTTTTCATACATTTTTATCCATCTCTATACGTATATGTATATTTGTTTGTATCCACTGTATGTATAATCTTATTATAGCGGTCGAAGAGGGGTAAGGGTAGAAGGGCGCGTTTGAGGTCCGATGGAGGATCGGAAGAAAAAAGGGCCGAGCAGGGTAAGGGGCGCATGTGTATGAACCAGCACCCGAGTCTCGAGTAATTGAAGCAAAGGGGGCATGGGGCAGTTATAGCAGGACGAGAGGAGGAGACGGAGGCTCGGGGAATCTCCCGTTTTGCCCTCGAGATAATCGAATGAATAAATGCTGCTGTTGCCGCTGTGGCGGGAAATAGGGGTTGGGATGGGAAGAGCTTTTTAATTAAGAAGCGGTTCCCTTCGCTGCCCCCCCCCTTTCCATACCACCCAACTTTTTTCAATGCTGTAGCATAATGTTACACTGGCTCGATATGTATATCTTTGTTTACGTGTGATTGAAAATTTTTCTTTTTCGAAACGGGTAATTTTGAGGAATTTATGTGTTGAGCAAATAAGCGATAGTGGCAGTCTTGGAACAAAACTTATCTCTGTTTGTTTGTCAATTTTATTTTGACGAATAGGTAAATGCGACTAATACTTTTTGCAACGGAGGCTTTTGGAGAAATGTTATTTGGTTATATTGGAGAATAGCAAAATAAACGGATTTTTATTAGTAATAGTAGTTGGTCAATACCTCCAAATAAAAACCGATCGGGCATAAGTAAAAGAATAAATACCTTGTTCGAAAAAATTATTTCTAATTAACAAACGAATTGCTTGATCTTTTTCACATTGGATATATAATCTTTTACTCAAAATATACTTTAATGAAGTTTGTTTGATCATATTACAAATTTATGATTTTTAGATTTTTTGAAACTAAACCAGTTACTGTGATTAAAAAAAAAATTATTTTATCATTTATTACAAACTCCATATTTTTGAGTGCAATTTAAAAAAATGTGGGTAGAACCAGTAACTCTAAGTTTAATTGTTTTATCTGGGTGATTTCAGTCTTTTACATTTATGACGATAAGATCTTTATTATGCATTCATACTAAGTAAATATGTATATATGAGTGTATTCTTGGATTTTTATGATCCAATTGTGTTTGAGATCGATTTGATACGAAAAAAAAAATATTTTTACGGAGAGTCTTACTCACTACATTATTGTGTTATTGTTATTTTTTTATTTTGTAATCCTTACAATTACAACATATTTTCAACAGATAAGTGATAATTACCATAAACTCAAAAAAACTGACGTATTGTAAAACATCAATATTTTATTCCAACATTTTACCATGGTAAAAATAATATTTTAACTGATAAATTGTTAACTTCGTTTACATTTTTATTACATAGAATAGAAGACTGCACGTATTCTTATTATATTGTCATTCCACAATATATTATTTTAATTATATTGGAGTAGTAAAAGTATTAAATATGGCATGTTAACTATTAACATGCCGTCTGTGTACAGTTAAAATTTAAAAAGTTATAAAGAACATGTAAACAATCCGATTTGTCGTCAACATCTGCCAGTGAATAGCGCAAACGCGAGATAAATAAAACAACAACGCGGGCGGTCTCGGGGAAAAGGGATGAAGATAGAGAGAAAGAAAAGGCAAAGTCAACCTGTCGCCAACAAGTATACATACATCGGAAGGAAAATCCGGCTTCCACGGCCTACACGACACATCCGTTCGACTTTGTCCATGCCGTGCAGGTATATAAGTGTATACACGCACAATCGGTAGCCGCGCTATGAGTACAATATATATATATATATAGTTGCATACTTTCACGTGATGGTGAAATTTGTTGATTTTCGTTTGGTATATAAAGAGGAGACAAACTTAGTACTGCAATTATACTCACCTAAAATCAGTCCAGAAAAATCAGAATTTTCCATTCAACAATGAATTGTCCAGTGCAACTGATAGTCGCAATTTTAATGATTAAATCTGCTTATTCTCAAGTTACTACATCAAATGATGTAAGTATTGGATTAAATGTCAAAGCATATCATGTAAAAAATGAATATTCAAATTTTTCATTTGTATTCATTTATTTGTGCGTCAGATCCCTGGGACTTTGAAATGTGAAGGCTGTTCCATTTATAAACTCACGGAAAATGACAAAAAAGAAATTTTGTTTGCCCACAATTCCCTTAGAGATAAATTGAGTCAGGGTATCGAAGGAATGGGTAACCCAAGGCCACAACTGAAAGCTATCAACTTAGAACATCTGGTAATCGAAAGTTTTAATAAAATTCTTTGTAAAAATGGTATAATTTGAAACTTTATTTTTATAGCAATGGGACGAAGTTTTAGAGGAGGAAGCTTGGAATGAACTCTATTCGTGCTCATCTGACCCAGACTTTCGTAAATGTTTTACAGATCTCTCTAATCCTGTAACAGGTCACAACTATGACTACATAGTTAATCCCTTCAACTCAAGTGATTCTGTGCTATCTATTGTTAAGAAATGGTCCTCTCAAGCGAATACGTTCAACCACGAACATGCCAGCTCATTAACGTAATTAGCTACGATCAATTGAAAAAAATGTAAAAAATAACCATATTTATTCTAAAAAATTATTTATTCTTTAGCACAAGTGATCTGACAGTCGCTAGAGCGTACACTCAGATGGTTTGGAGTAGAAGCACGAAAATTGGATGCGCTGCTTTCAAAGAAAAAATAGTAGAATACACCGATATGACTCACTTGATTTGCAAGTACAGAGAACCTGGAAACATTATTGGTCAACCAGTTTACTTTACCTCGTCTACTGTCCTTCATCAACCTCCAACTGGTATTAATAGTATGACAACAAGTTTCAAAACTAACATACCAAACCTTCCTACTAATGACGGACAAGTAGTTACTGGTGATATGACACCAAAATTCAATACTAACATACCAAAACTAATGACGGACAAATTATTTCCAGTAGTATGATATCAAATTTCAATACTAACTCGCAAAACTTTCCTATTAATGACGGACAAATAGTTACTGGTGATATGACATCAAAATTCAATACTAACATACCAAACGTTCCTACTAATGACGGACAAATAGTTACTGGTGATATGATATCAAATTTCAATACTAACATACCAAACCTTCCTACTAATGACGGACAAATAGTTACTGGTGATATGACATCAAATTTCAATACTAACATACCAAACCTTCCTACTAAGAAAGGACAAATTACTACCAGTGGTATGACATCAAATTCCGCTACTAACATGCAATACCTTCCTCCTAATGACAGACGAATTGTTGGTGGTAGTTGGCCAATACCTACTAATACCGATCTGGACCACATGAGTAAACGAATAAATGTATTGTTTGAAAAAATTATTGCCTGTCTCAAGCTAATGTTTTGATCTTCGATAGGTAAAATACTATTTTAACTTAAAATATCATACTTCAACAAAGTTTGTTTAATTACATGTTACATGCATAGTTGAGTAATTTTTCAAAAATAAACAAATTATATATATAAAATCGATAGTTTTATTATTTATTGAGTCAAACCATGATACTTGTAAGTAGAGTTTTTAAGATGTGTGTAGTTTTTATTGAAAGCTAACATTTTTTTTTTAATTGTGATTGCCTTTCTTTTATATTTTTAGCATCAACCAAACTCATAATGCTATTGTCAAGTAAACGTGATGGTTTCATGAAGTTTCACATTTTTTTTTTTTCTTTTTTTTTTCAAACTATAAAAAAGATTGATGATTAATTTGGGAATCAAATGCACGGAAGTTTCTTAATAGCGTAAGAATTATTTGGATTTCGTATGAAATAAAAAATGAATGCAGTCTCCTTTCCTGGGACTTTGAGGTGTGTAAAAAGCGTTACTCAAAGTTGAATAAACATTACCGCCCGTTTTGATAAACAACTGTTTCGTCATCGTAACAGCTCGCGCAAGATCCTGTTATTTATTATCCTTGAATTTTTAAATCAAACGAAGAGAAAGACAAAGAGACGTCAGCCAAAAAATGTGCAAACGCATAGGGGAACATGTGAATTTTTCTCAGCGGGGGAGATGGCTAAGATAGCTTCGGGGGCTGCCCTTTGCGACGCCATTTTTGATCTAATCATCGAGAAAATGGTGTGCACTCTACTGTGTATTTCGTGTGCGGAGTATGTGAGTTACGATTATAGAGGCTTACCATCGGATCCTCATGAGCTCAAAAAGCCGTCTTTTGGTAAATATTTTCATTTAACAAATTCTTTTGCTTTAACAGTAAGCGTTTTATCGCCAAGTATTCAAAATTCATGGAAATCATTAACTTTGAAGTATTTAAAATTGATTTTTTTATGAAAAACATTTACAAAGAAGGTGTTAATAATTTGTTTACCTTAGAAAATTTAGTGCATGATTTTTTTATCAACAAAATATAAAAATTATTAAAAAATTACAAAAATTTGAAACGGTTTAAAAGGTTGGGATTAGAGGGTGTATTGCAAAAATGTTGACAACTAAAATTTTTTACGTAGATATATAAATTTATTTCATCTTTCTTGTAAATATACTGTAGTGCCTCTTAGATGGGGACTACAATAAATCCTTACAATATTAATATGTATTTTACAAAATTTACATCGTGGCACAATCGCGTGCATGTTATATTCTATACGTATTTACAAATTCATTTTATCGCTTAAGTATACAATCACATCAAATTGTACTTTTTCTTCATTTCTCTAATTATATATACATATACAATCTTGGTTTTTGTACGTTGGTTCAAAAGATTTTATCAAAAATACGGATGGTAATATTTTAAGGGAAATCAGCTTCGTTAGAAATAATTGATCATGATTTTTCGTTGAAATCGGCAACATTTGTACTAAACATGATGTTCGTCATGTTGATTATTCTAATTTTGTTTAATCGGATTTGTAGAAGGCAATATTTGTCTTAAGGTAACGGCCAATGATATATTTGTACATCCATGAAACGACTTGTAAACTATTTCTGCACGTAAAATTATACTTTTGTTGCTTTTTTTCACCTATACTCCTCGCTGAATGTATAAAAATATACATATCTCATACAGTTTAAACACATAATATCTTGTAACTTTGAAGTCCAGCGCGATTTAATCGAACCAACAGTCGAAACGAGCACTGACATAATATTATTTTCGCGTGAGTTATCAATTCATTAACCGAAGAGTTAAAAAATTACTTACATGTAACAAGTAAAATTGTTTCACTCATCTCACCATAAAATTACAATTTAATTGCCCCTCTTACCAGAGCGCGTAACATTTTTTCACAAAAATCCTTTACTCCTTTTAGTTGTAAAAAAAAAAAAAAAAAAAAAAAAGGAAAAATGCACCTTGAAAAAAAGTTTGTCTCCGAAAATCCACACCAATAAAATCTAAAGCAAGTTGTACCCGCCATTGGGCGCTATCGTAGTAGCCGGCGGCGGCGGCGGCGGATAGTAAGCACCGTAGTAATGGCCGCTGAGGAGCGTGGCCATGTAGGCAAAATCGTACTCGGCCGCGTTAGAGTATCTGTTGTGGGTTTTGAAATGTTTTTTCAGATGATCCTTGCGTCCGAACTTCTTCTGACACAAGTCACAAACGAAGGGCTTCAAACCCGTGTGGATGCGCTTGTGACGGGTCAGCTCCTCGTTGCGCGTGAAAGCTCGCGAGCAACCCTCGGCGTTGCATCTGAATGGCTTTTCGCCTGTAAGCAGAAATAAAAAATAGTTTGTTTTCCTCCGACTTCTTGACCAAAAATAATTGACTGTTTGATTGTAAAATACAATAATAATTATGAATTAAAAAAAAAAAAAAAAAAAAATCAACTGAAAGTCTACAATTGGACGTACGTTGGGCACAAACGTGAAAGAGCAAAGTGTAATTGAACAAAACTCACCAATAAAAAAAAAAAAAGAAAAAAAAAGAAAAAAAAAGAAAAGTCCTTTTTCCTCCATATAACAACCCGACCAACTCACCGGTGTGCGTCCTGAGGTGACCCTTGAGCTGGCCATTGTTGCTAAAAGCCGCCGGGCAGTAGTTGCAGTTGAAGTTCTTGGGCCTGGTCTTCTTGATCTGTTTGGCGGCGAACTCTTGCTGGTGTATCCTGTCGACCTCGGCAGCGATGCCGTTGAAGTAGACCGCCTCCTCGAGCCGCAATCCAAGCGGGTCCCAAATCCCGGGCTGAGCGAAGGCCGGATACACCCTCGGCAGCCCAACTTCCTGGCACACGACCGGCGCCGCGCCCACGACCATCGGCTTCGTCGAGCGACGGTGGCGGCGATGGCGCAATGGCCCGTCGATCGACTGTTCGCTGTCTATGCTGTTGTAACTGCTCGACGAGCCGGCCAGCGAGGAATCGTCGCTCTCGCTGTCAAAGTCCTCCTCCGGGTTGAGCTTCGGGCCCTTGCCCGCCACCCCATCCTCGTACTCGTCCACCCCAGGCGATGACCCGTCGACCTTTTTGTCCGCGTTGTTCCAGGGCCGGAAGAAATCGACCGCCTGGCCACTCATTTCGGCACCTCTTGTGTATACGTTCACCGGGTAACGACGGGCCACTTGCGCGCACTCGAAGGGAGGAAGGAAAAAAAAGCAGCACAAAAACCAAAAAACCAAAAAAAAAAAGAAAGAAAGAAAGAAAGAAAGAAAGAAAAAAAAACGATTTGCCGCGTAGTGTGCACGAAAGATGGACCTGCAGCTCGTCCTGTGCGCGGAGCTTCTGACTGGGCGCTCGTCCTGCGAGGGGCTTTTATAAATTTGAGGGTCCGACCGAGGGCTGACAGCGGCGTTGGGAGGGGGGAGGGGGATGAATGGGACGAAGCCAGGCCCCTATGTACGCGGATGGAGAGCGGGGCGTTGCTCATTGGGTGGATGCACGGGAGGGGACGTGAAAAGGAAGCGCGGAAGGGAGGGGGTGCACGCGCGCACGCCGAGGTCGGAAAAGGGCGCACGGTAGGCTCTCCGACAATGGACACCGATGGGTTGGGGCTGCCGCGGCACGAGCTCACTGTCTGCCGATGCTTTGTTGGGATGAGTTTTGAAATTAATCTTTGCGGTGGCGGGGGGCGATGCGTGGGGGGGTTGTTGGGCGCGGGAATGAACGATACACGTATACGTATACCCGTTTGTATGGGTCGAGCGAGATCCGAGGACTTGAGGGCTTTTTTTTTTGTTTTGATCGAGTGATTTATGACGATTTTTACGTGCAGAACGAGTGCACCGAATGATGGAAAATTCCAAGGGATACATAATATATGCTGTTAACTGTTTCTATCGATTTTTTTTTCTCTCTCTTTTCCCTCTCATGCGCTCCCGATCGAGATCTTGCGTGTGTTTTTAGATGCAAAGCTTACTCGTAGGCCGGGGGTATGATGATTTGCATATGTCAACGGGTTTTATCAAAATACACAAACGTATTCACATGACATCACCTATGGCAAGATGGTGAATATAAAGAGACACAAAGTTCTCACGGTATCAGTAGCAGTCGAGTCGAGACTTTCTGCTATCTGATCCACGTACATTTGAGTGATTTCCTCCTACAGTGGATACAACTTGTACCATCAACTCGCATTTTTTCTTTATCAATTGTAAAAAATATACATGTCATGGCATCCCTTCGACTGCAAAAGATAAGTAAAATAAAGAAAAAAGAAAAAAAGAAAAAGATTTGTCGAAACATCTTGGGCGTTTACACGAGATAACGTTACATGTATGTACAGTTTGTCGGACACGATCCTTCGTTGAAAGGATAAAAGTGCTACTGATTATCGGTAGCGAATCTCTCTGTAAAACATGATTGTTCGCACATTTGTACCACGTGAGGTAAAAATCTAAAAAAAAAAAAACAACCGATTGTCCTTGTGTTGACTATAAAACCAACGTTGCCCCGGACTTGGAAAAAAAAGCACCCCAAAAGCTCAAATCCACCTGGAACTAAATTCTTGCCATAAAACCTTGCACGTGAGCTTGACAACCAAAGAAACACCACCCCGCTATACTTATACCCTTCTTTGGCAGAACCGCTCGTGCAACCCCTTTGATACTCGTACATGCCAACGTCAACCGCACGCATTTATACTACATCCGACACAAACCACGGAGAATGAAGCGGAGCTTTTCTATATGTATTTGTCCGTCGTGTACAGCAGCAGCCATTTTCCTCCCTTCCTTCCTCGTTTGGGATTGCACGGGTATATACAAAGTCCACACAATTCACTGCCCTCTGCAGCACACCCATCGTCCCCGTGCACGCATCAGCATAGGTATATTTATATGTATACATAATATATATGTGTGGGTATACCGATTGCAGTGCACTCGAGAGGAAAGAGTATATATAGTGTACACGAGCATAGCGCATCTGCTCCTCCGTCAGGGGCGGTGTGATATTGTGTGTACCCCCCGAAAGCGTATACATGTATAGGCCTGATTCGAGGCGCGCCATCGTCTGCCCCGTCAGCCCTCGTGTGCTTTCATTTTCCATCGGTTCCCCCTTTTTTTGGTTGCGCGGACGAGGGCACGAGACCGAGACTCCGGATTGGACGACAAACTTTTCTCGATCTACAATTGCGCCTCTTGTGCGAGTATATAGTACGTACACATGATACAAGCGATAGCGGTTTCCTTGCGCCAAAGCGCATTTGGTTGTCGTTGGTAAATTTTACATCGTTACAGGTACGACCAAAACTTTGACCCACACACGGTACTCCAATGTCATAGATTTCACCAGAAAACTATTATAGATTCGATCGAACGCGTCTCGGGATCGATCAATTAAAAACTGTGATCTGATGAAAAAAACGGATGAATCGGCACCTCCTGATAAAAAAGCCTTGCTGCGTATACGATCTCTCTCTCTCTCTCTCTCTCTCTGTCGTTTGTACAACAATATTCTGGGTTTTTCCAATCAAAATGATAATAGTAAACGCCACGCGCGCGCACGTATATAGATACACCGAAGCAACAAAGCGCCGTCCGAACCATCGCCCTCTCAACCCTTATTGTACCGTGTGGGTCCTCTGCTGGTCAATATACGGTGTATATGTATGCCTCCCTCGCAAGGAGCAAGTCGTGCGCATACAACGACTCGAATACCCATACACCAGTATACGCATACCGTAGAGGAGCCAGAGGAGGACGGTGTTAGTTTTGTTGCGACAGCGACAATGTGCGATGCTCGAGCTGTACGCGAGGGTGGAAAAAAAAAAAAAAAAAGAGTCAGGGTGACGAGTATGAGCGAGGCAGGGGCGGAGTTTCCGCTCGAGCACGCGCTGCGCACACACACAACGCGTTTACACACACGCACAAAAGCATACAGCCACCTCTTGATTTATACCCCTAGCAATAATCTTCTTTATACATGATGTATATATACACGCTCTTGTTGTACACGGCCTCGTCTCCCCCACGTCGTGCGCGTGTATCGCGCAGCCTTCGATCAGCCTTTTTCTCGCGCGATTGTCCGGTGCGTGGGTGCTGTTCTTCCAGAAAAGCTTTTACTCGGTATACCAGAGGGGGGGAGGCTTTTATTCGCTTGTTTTCCCTGCGTTTTCGGTCCTGGACGTTTACAGCGGTATACCAACGAGTCCCTATATTACATATACCCTACCGTTTATATGAATCGGCGATTTTCTGCCATTTTTTAACCAATTGTTTTTCCGGTACCGCTGGTTATTATGCATGTAGCCATGGGACGAAAACAAACAGTCCTGGAAACTCCGACATTATTTGTCCTTCACCCCATAGATTGGGACGCGGGGGTGGTGGGTGTGTGTGTGTGTGTGTGTATGTACGCGCAGGAGTTGTAGACGAGAACACTTTCCTGCTCCCATATCGTTCGGGAATATTGCGTCATCGGGTGTGTAAGATTAATGGTTTTTGATGAAGAGTTCATGGTTTTCTTTTTTTTGCCGATTAAAGACGTGCATGTGCCCAGAAACAAACAAACGATATTCCAATCCGTGACAATGGAAGGAGGAGGAGGAGGAGGAGGCAATCGAGGTCGGACGGAAGTGGAGTATCGGCCCCTTAAGATCGGCCGCGAAGCAACCGATCGATCACGCGAGAGCATGTAGCCGCGCGTGCAGGCGACGGGTTGTTTGTTAAACAAACGCGACGACAATGGAAAATGAGGACCGGCGAGCCGGGTATCGCTGACAAATTATGAAGAAGAAGATGGAAGGGGGAAAAACTGAAAAACTCAAAGGTAGCGGTGATCCGTCACGCGTGGGACGCATACGCTCGACCGAATGGAGATCGATCGCTCAAAAGTTCCGAAGGCCACTTCCGACGGCTGTGTTTTTTTAAGCCCAATTCGCCGCGTTTGTTTTTCCATAATGTGACGTGTTCGCCCGAGTCGGTCCCCCGGGGGGGAACCACTACTTTCCCCGCCCTCTTTGACTCTCCCATCGAAATTCACTGCCCCTCTCGCGCACACGACTACGTCAGCGAAATAACAAGCAAATTAATCAAATCCCCGAGCAGAAACAGCGGATCGGCAAAGATGAAGCGTCACGTGTACCGATCGGTTGCGTTTGTGCGTGCCGCAATCCTTTCCTCCAAAATTGTGGCCACCTGACGTGGAAGCTCACCCAACACGGAAATAAGGAGGGACGACCATGGAAGGTTCTTAAGCTACTTATACCCTCCGTAATCCGCTTACGTATACATTGTGCCCCTGCGATTGCCCGTGATCTCGGGAAGCCTGTGTAAGCCCAACTGGTTTGTTTGTCCAGCCGTGGGCGTGAGTTCGGCTTACGCCAACAAAAGGCGACGCGAGCGTTCAGAGAAGGTGTTAATTACAACTGATTGCTACAGGTGTGTACGTATTGTTTTTCTCGGGTGCTCCTACGGGATCCCTCGAGTTCTCCAAAATTCATCGGCGATCCGAAAGCATCTTTGCTTCGGGGAAAAAAACTACCTAATAAAGAGACGACAACCTGAGTATCCGTGACGAATCAGCCCTCCACGGCATTCCAGTGTAATATACATGGACGCGAGCTGCCTAAACGACAGAAGAATAGCCCACGGGGATGATGCTCCGTGAAATCAAGATTTTTCCACCCTGCACGGGATCGAAGGAGGGCAACCGATTTGTCACAGTTACTCCTCTCTCGCCTTCGTATAGTTATGACTTTTCTGGCGTGTTTCAGGTACGTGTGAGGAGCTTCCAGAGTTTATTGTCAACTCGGTGCCCTTTTTCCGTGACAAAAGCAACGGGTGTATGTATATACCTACTCCTCGACGATGATGACTTTTTTTTTCAGTCCGTCCTTTCCGTTTGAGTTTTCGTGAGTGATCCGACTGGCCGGATATCTAAGGGAAAGCTCCTTTTGATTAATTCAAATTTTTCCCCACTTTTTATCGACTGATCAAATCAATACGAAATATTTGTTGCAACAAAACATTCGGTTGAACCCTTAATTTTTTGTTGCATGAAAAAAGTGCCACGCAACCAGCCTTTAACGATATTACAAGAAATGAAGTACCCCCCGAGCCACATCGAGCGTGAATGTAATCCAAACGCACGACGCGTATGGGCGCACGTATCATACCCCTGATGCAATAAGTGGCGGAGACGGTTCGTTATTAGATACATATCGCCGCAGGAGTCCTCGTACATCGGCGACACAACCGCATTGACCCTAAAAGAGAAAAAAAAAAAAAAAAAAAAAAAAAACAGCACGCAAAAGCCACCTCTCGACCCTCGAGAAAGCAAAGCCCCCTCCCGAGACAACGCACATCGCGTCGAGGGAGAAAGAGCACGCCCTGGGAGCTGGAGCCGTCGAGAGCCTCCCCCTCCCCCCAAATGCTGCTCCCCTTCGACATTAACCGCACCGGATGATATGGTTACCCCAACCCAACGTGGAGAAAAAAAGGGCCGAGCCCCGCAACAGCCTACGTGACTAGAAAACCTTTATACGTGACGAGCACTGCAGCTTCCACCCCGGCTTGGTATGTCACATGGCAGAAATAGCGTGGAGGGTGAAAACGCGGGGAGGAGCGCGCTCGCGCCGCCTCTCGCATGGCGGGCCGAAACTTTATTGTGCCTCCTTACGCTCGAATGAACTCGACCGCTGTCTATGTCCATCTACGCTGCTTCCCTTGTTCGTGCGAACCACGACGCTTTTGGGACAATCTTTTTTCTTTCCAAATTTCATTTTTCGTTTGTTGCTTGCTATCTCTACTTTTGCGTGTATCCAAGGTTTTTCGGGTATCGTTTTAATATCGTGTCTTTTCAAGCGTGTACGGAGCAGCTGGGCTATTGGATTCTTATGGAAGCGGAAATTATTTAGCATATACGGTAACAAATGGCACTCACTGTCATTTGAGAAAATTGGTTTATTTTCTATCTCATATACATGCAAAGTTGTGTTGAAATTCGCGGCGAAATACAATTAATCAGTTGTACGAAAATTTCATTTTGCCAGATTAGTTTTGGGCCTTGCAATACTAAACTCGTTATTTTTTTCTTTCTTTCTTTCTTTCAGACAGAGAATCAGTTGGAAATTTACCATAAAGTAAGTAATTACCTTCTACTTTTGATCATCAGTGCAATCGATTACGATACCATACTTAGACATGCACTCCTAGTTGCCTTAAAAATATTACCAAACGAATAATCATCGAGCAAATGTTTGATCTCTTCGAAATATTTATTTCTGCTATTTTATTTAACTTTGTTGGAATATGTTGCCTCGGAGCGCTGTATTATTTATTCCCGTTTGTGTGTACTGAATTCGCCATTATTGAGGCCTCTAGCCATTCTGAAGTTTTCCATTTTTGTGATCAAGTTTTTCATTTCCTCATTGATATTAAAGTCATCAAAGAATGATTCATTTGAATCATTGTCCGACGTGGGCTGAACTTTAACGCTTGTTGAATCTGTATTTGCATTCGAATCACCAGAATGACCCTCCACATCATCGATGCTGGGAGTCACTAATGTTGACGTTACCACATTTTCATCCAATTCCTTATCTGTACCGTTACCCGATTCCAACTGGTTGTCAACACTTTCACCGGGAGCAACTATCGATGTTTCAACATTTTCATCCAATTCCTTATCTGTACCGTTAGCCGATTCCAACGGGTTGTCAACACTTTCACCAGGAGCAACTATCGATGTTTCAACATTTTCATCCAATTCCTTATCTGTACCGTTACCCGATTCCAACGGGTTGTCAACACTTTTACCAGGAGCAACTATCGATGTTTCAACATTTTCATCCATTTCCTTATCACCTCCATCACCTGATCCTAACGCGTCATCGACACTTCGCATCCATCGCCAACTTGAGAGTAGTTTCCTTGACTTCCCGTGAACACATTGTTTCTTCTCTCTACCCTCATCATCTTCCATTTCAAAGCTATCATCTTTGGAGTTGCGATTATTTTGTGAATATTTTTTCATATCTCTTAATTCTCGAGTTTTCCGGCTTCCTGGAATACATCATTTTTTTATGCCATTTAACATACAAGTTTGCCAATGTAAGTTTTTTTTTTTTTTTTTTTTTTTTTTTTTTTTTTTTTTTTTTTTTTTTT